GATCACGCCAGTAGCACAATCCCACAACGGCACAAACGATGATTAAAAGAACAGAAGGGATTACAGCAGCTGCTATTGTAGCTGAAATGTAAATACAGTTATGTTGGGACGGCGTGATGCTATTGTTTTTCAACTTGTTTAATTAGTATAAACACATGGGAACCATACATGTGGACTTTTCAAGATATTCGCAAAATAATATTTCAGAAAGTGAGAAAAGACAGCAAGGCCAGACAAAACTGATAAGTTGGTTAACAAGTGGCGACCGTCTAAAAATAGGGTCGGTCTGTAAACGTGTGGATTAAAAATTGATTTGCACAAAATCAGGATCTTTCATTAAGCAACTGATCAATTTTACCTAGTCGTATTTTAGATTTTTCATTTATGCCCTAATACTTTTACATTTACCATACTAGAGAATTATCTCAAACAGCTTCATCTCACCTGTTCGCATTGCCGCGATTTTCTCTTCCAACTCCCTTACAGTCCCATTGCTTGTGGAATTTTGTCTGCTCTGGTTCGATGCCGGCACCACAGTTTGAGGTTGCGGAACACTGGTTGTGGTTGAAGTGTCTCGTCGCGGTGCGTTTGACGTTGTACTAGATTCTGAAAGATGTTTATACCTTCGGTAATGTTCTGCATACACACAACGCGACACTGAAACTAGGTTTACAATACCAAACTATAAACCAAGGATGATGTTCCAAATGAGTTTTTCGCGAAACGGGCGAATTATACGTATTTTAAATTTTTTTTTTCGAGATAACATATGGTAACATAGAGTATTTACGTAAAAACCACGTGGTCATAATTGCAAAATTTTTGTGCAAGTGATTATTTCCCTTTATTAATGTCCTGTTGCAAAACCGTTTAGAATTAATGCTTATTAATAAAACATTACGTTCCGGGTTTTTTAGTAATAGGCGTAATAACTACAGTTTGGTTACAAAACGCACCTGCAACACATGTGAATTTCAAAGAAGGATCTTTAACAAAATCCGTGCCATTGTAATACTTCCAAGTATTGGTCACCAAATGGGGTTCCTGCGCTGTGTCAGTCACATAAATTCCAGCATTATTTCCCCCAAGAGTTTTACCAACTAGCCACTGTCCTTTGCCCTCCAAAAAGAACACAAATATATCCCTGTATAAAAACTCTCTTTTGTAGGAAGGACGACTAGGATCACCCGTGGATTGCGGATCAAGCAGGTAATAGTATTTAAACACTTTGTCCTCCTGGAATTTCAGTGCCTCATTGCTTCCCTCCAAGTAATATCGACTGCAATGACTGGCTGGAATAAATTTCACCTCATTAATTCATTTTATTCATTATTTGATAAAAGAGGCCAAATGAACTAGCAAATCTATAACAGATATTAAATCCCACCATATAAAAGTAAAATTTCAATAAATAAAGCCATTTATATTTTTATAAAACATTTACCTGCTTCTATTACCACCAACGCTGGCACGAGCAGAAGACCGAAAAGAATTGAAGTTAACAGCTGCATATTTACATCCAACGTATGTACCTGAAATTAAAAGGCGGTCTTAATTCACAGATAACTACATAAATATGAAATAGAGAGAAAGGAAAGAGACTCCAAATACTTGCATCCGAGCCATCAGAAATCTGACGTTGCCGGTCGCTTTTATCATATCCGTCATATCACCTGTAATGTCATATAAACCGCAAGCAGTGTCCGGTGTTAAGTGGGAGAGCAAACATACAATGGACCACTCAAAACATACTCAGCCCTTACTTCTCTACATCTAGGTCAGCCCATGGGAACGTACACTTTGATTATTTATCCTTTGCCATCTAAAACATAAACATACCTATCTATTTCCTTATTTATGATAAACACGTATCAACCCGTCTCCAATAAAAACAAAAGCCCGAAAAGCGGAACTAAATGCTTTACTCATCAGCTTAACTTGACACTAAAATAGTGACTCAGATTTTATTATCTCTGTTTCGTGCAAAAGTTAATTCATTATCACGAAATCACATCCTTCGCGGTACAAGGTGCCAGTAAGAGCGACAATCCAAGGCGACGCTGTGGAATGAAGCTATTGTATGACTCGTTCAGATACTGGCTTTTGGGGTGGATTTGGCAAGAGTTTTAACACCCTAGCCAACTTAATATTATATTGTGCCCCTTTTCTTTTTTTTTCTTGCTTAAAAAGACAATGACAGCAGATGTTGTTAACCGAGCTGAAACATTAACCAAAAATATGCACCTACGTTCATAAGGGGACTGACAATGTAAACGAAATTGGGAAAATGGATGGATCTGGGGGATCTTTATGAATTATTTGGTAACGCCCCCACTCCCCCTCCTTTAATACACCGTAAAAAAGAAAGCATTCCATTGCCACATTGTTTCCAATCAATCCTAAACTTACCATCGGCGTGCAAAGCTTTTTAAAAATCCCTTTAGAGGTGAAAGTATATGTGTAATAGTCTATGTCAGCAGCAGGGCCTATTGTAACCACCGTTCTTAATACCTATTGTAAAGTCAGTCTTTGTCAAGATATAGGTTGATCTAATATCCGAATATTAACCCCAGCTCTCTCAGTGGTCGTCAGTGATATGAAGCACTGACTTCGCGCGTCAAATATGCAGGTTGACCAATATCTAACCCACCATTATATAACTTACCAGGTCAAATCCTGTAAAGTCTTCAAAATGGACATGACTTTTTGAGATGTAAATGATACCCTATATTTTGGACCCTCTGTATGGGTCAAAGAGAATACGCATTTTATGTATTCTTATGCCTTACCTGTTGCTCAAAGTCTTCACGCAGGTGCCTGAGACACGATCTAAACTATAAGAAAAGTCACAAAATCAAAATTACCAAATAGTAGTGGCTATAGTGAACGGTCTTGCCCTGTGAATAAGCATTGACGTGCAGAGATACAAAGTCACGGTGCGTGGGTTTCCACACGTTGAATCACGTCCACTTGCAGCCTTTACAGCACAATTCAGATATGTAACTGGGGTACTGGTGAGTCACCGCACTCCCTAAGAAAATCAGGGTGGTTGAAGGACAAAAACCTCTTCCGCCGGCTCAGTTTGATCGGTAATTGTGGCTGTTGAGGTCGTCTAGGGTTTATGTGGGACAAGGCATTGGTACTAAATGGGTCGCGAGCCTTCTCTTCTGTGTTCAATGTGTTTGTATATAGTGCAAATTATGACGCACGCCCTTCCCATTGTTGACCAACTTTATACAGCCGTTTATAGACAGTGTATAGAGTTTATATGGTTATGCACGCACGTGTACAAATAATACTGACCGCTTTTACAGACTGAGAGATGAATGAAATCTGTGAAATCATAGCCGGTCGGGACGCATGCTGTACCTGACATGGGATACGTTCGGAATTCAGACTAAATGAAATGACATTTTTCAAAAAAATGTCGATAAAACAGTACGTCATGCCTGATTTTGCCTGACAAAATTTTCTTCTCAGTTCAATATATTTAATAAGGCATATATTGAACTGAGAAGAAAATTTTGTCAAGAAGTGAGAAATCAACCTGTGGTAGAGAGTAGCAGTATATTGTGCTTTTCACAATTACACACTGCAAAAGAAAACACGGTATAAACATCATGTTCCTGGGTTTGAAGTCTTGTTGGAGGTTTTCCTTCGTGGATTTTCACCTCTTATCCTCTTTTAAATTGAAAACAACATCTACACCAGTGATTTTAACAAGCGTTTTTTTTTTTTTTTTTTTTTTTTTTTTAAACACTCACTCTAAACCAAACAAGCACTTTTTTGAATGGCTACTGTTGTCAGGGATTGCAGACTGAATGCAATGGCATTTTCAGAAAAAAAAATAGTGGTTGATAAAAACAGTCATGATTGATTCAATGGGTGGTCCATGTTTGAAGAAATGACAGCTTCTTTTAAAACTCAGACGTCGGTTGTCAGTTATTTTAAGCGTCTGATTTCGTGACTGGCAAACTAAGCGATAAAGTACCTGTAAGACAGATACCTGTAAATTCATGATTCTTATTATTTGCCATCATGTAAATAGTAAATTGAGCCGTCATGGGTAAAATAAAACACCATTTTTAAGTATTTAATATTTATTTATTTATTAATGTGACATGCATGTGAATAAATATAAATATATAAATCACTCAGCTTTATGGGTCTACAAGTTACCGAACTTAATACATTTATCAAATACATAAAATTAAGGTTGTAAGTTATATGCAAACACTATAAGATATATTATAACACAGTAGTAATATTAGTTGTTAATACTGATAATGCAGTAGTGGGATCCCGGGTTGGAAATTTTCTCTCTATTTAGTTTTT